GTGCTTTATCACTGAGTTAGGGCCCCAGCTTTTTTTTATTTTTATTTTTTATTTGAGAAAAGTTCTCACAAACTTGTTGAGGGTCTGGCTAAATTTCTGAGCCTGGCCTTGATCTTGCACTCCTATTGCCAATTATATTGAAATTATAGGCATGCACTACCTGATCAAGCTGCTATTTTTTTTCAATTTGAAAATGAAAAAGTCAAAGCTTTCATTGATAGTTGCCAATGTTACCTTGGAGCAGTGAATATAAACATTGCAGCCAGAGAAGTCATGGTCCCCAGCAGAACTGTGGCAGCACTGGGGCTTGTAGGCATGTGAGGAGTAAAATATCTTGACTTTTTACTACTGCTGTTTTCCATTATCCTCTAGTCTCCTACCAGTGTTTTTGTATTGGGCAAAAACAATATGAAGTTTGTTGACAATAGAAATCAACAGGTATTGTCTATAGAGACACAAACAAGGAAGATAAGAGCAAAAAATTGATCTGGGGGTGAAAATTTTTAAAAGTTAGCATCACAAGGTTGGGGCTGTAGTTTAGCATAGTCCTTGCCTACCAAGTGCAAGGCATTGTGTTTGATCCTCTCAGCACCACATAAAAATAAACAAATAAAGGCATTTTGTCCATTTACAACAACAACAACAACAACAATAATAATAATAATAATAATAATAATAATTTAGCATCACAGGAGAAGGATATCAGGAAAGTTGGAGGAGTAAGAAGCACCTCTGTACCTTGAAAATTATACTGGCAGAAAGCAATGAAGTTACTCTTTGGACTAATACTTTCAAGCTTCTAGGGATCAGACTGAATGATAAATTGCAGTTAATATTTGGTAGCTACCTATCCCTTATCCCACTCCTCAACCTGGGGCAGGTAGCCATGGGGATGGCAAGCTGCATTTATGGTACAACTTGCTGGAGAAAGAGTGGAAAAAAAGACCTTTCCTCTAAATATTGGAGATATGAGTTCCTACTGAGAACTGTGGGCATGGAAGCTGGATGCCATGTTTGAACCCTCACCAAATAAACAGTTTCCAGATATTTAAGTGACTGATAGTCTTTTTTAAATGTTTAAAAACAAGAGCAAATATGAGGGAATTTAGGAAGCCACCACATATGCCCAGGCTCAAAAAATACCTGAAAAGATCTTAAACTTTCACCTCAGACTGATTTTTGACACAGAGATATATTAAAACAAACAATAAGTAAAAACATCAACTTCAAAGAAAGGGGAAATCCAAGGTAACACCATTGCTCTTGACCTTGGTATCCACAGGTTTCATATCAACACACTCAACCAACCAAAGTTTGAAAATATTCAATTAAGA